TGTTTGATTATTAGGATTTTCTCCTTCAAACATAAGTTGCATCTGTCTCTGAAGTTTTTGGGAGTTCTGGCTCTTGATATTATTCTCCACTTTATTTGTGGTGTTAGGCCACTCTCCAACAAAGACCAATAATGATTTGATAGTGCTGTTTGTTTCTTTTTACATTTATTTTTGAAGGATTGGCGATGGTTGTATAGTCGGTGTTTCCAATCTCCCGCTGATATTCCTATGTATATATTTTTCTCTTCAACCTTTTCTTTGGGGAAAATTGTTGCTTCATATATTGTGTTCTCTGCCATGGATATTCCTTCAACTGGGCACTCTGATCTTGTCCTGCAGTTGCATGTTGATTTTTCCATTCGTGTTGTATCCTGATTTTGTCTTAGATTATCCTGAAGGTCTCTTAAAATTTTACTGTTGTGTGAGCTAATAATTCTTTCCATATTATTCATACTAGAATAGCTAATCTTTAGGTTCATCTTGTTGAATATTTTTTTCAGAGATGCATTTTTGCTAAAGTGTTTTCCTATCAGTTTCATGAAGTATTAACCTATATTAATATTGGAGAGGTTACAAAAAGGTGGGTTGAACCATATAATTTTCCTTTTCCTATTTTTGTGTTTAGTGGATTTTTATATACTGACTTATCTATGTAATTTAGTGTTTGCTTAAAATTACTTTTTAACAGGGCTTTATTGTATTCCCATTTATTCTGGTTAAAAATGATTTTACTGGAGGAAAGTTTATTTATTCTAGCATTTACTGTATTTGGGATTTGTTTAATTATTGATTTCGGGTGATTGGAGTGGATATTTATATATATGGGTGATTGGTTTTTCTTTTGGAAGGGTTTATAAGTATTATTGTTCAGATTAAATGTCACATCTAGAAAGTTTACTATTTTTAAGTTGGAAGAAATCTCGATTCTAAATCCTAGAAATTTGAAGGCCCTAATTATTTTCTTTTGTAGTTGGGATGTTAACGGACCAGTAGTATTAGGTACAGCAACTAACCCGTCATCTCTGTATAGTCCTATATTTTGAGGGTCAAGGAATCTACTTAGGATATCTAAAATATATATACCTATTAGGTCTGCTATTTGAGCTGAATCAAAAGATCCCATTGGGACGTCAAAATTGTCTCTATCTTTTTTTAATCCAAGTAGTGTTGTTCAGTTTTAGTATGGACTGTCTATAGTCCATTATGATTTTATTTCTTCGTCAGTAATGTCAGTGGGGATTCTGGCAAAACTTAAGCTATTTTCTAATAATTCTTTAGAGATTGAGGGGTAGAAATCGATGATATCAAGTTGTATAAAAAGTAGTATTATTTTTATTCTTTATTTTTTGGAACCAGTTAATGGTGTCTGATGAATCTTTTCAAAGGTTTAACGGGTATTTTTTAATTATAGATGTGTTTATTCTTTTTAGGATGTTTTTAGAAATTATTCCTAACTCTGATTTGGAGGGATTTATTAGTCTGGACTGTAGATTATTTATGGTCTTAAAACAGTAGGTAGGCGTCTTTTAGATGAGTTGTACCCATTCTATCAGCAATATTATATTTAAATGCTAATTTCGCAGTTTCTTTGTGTATGGAGGATAAGTGTTTAAAATTGTTGTCTTTCTTATATACCTATTAGGTCTGCTATTCAGAGATTTTATTTTGAAATAACGCATGTGTGTGTATGTAGATATGCTGCATATTGCGTATGCATATGCATGTGTGTGTATGTATATGTATGTGTGTATGTATGTATGCATATATGTGTGTGTGTATGTATGTGTATATGTGTATACATATAGGTGTGTAAATATATGTATGTGCGTATGAATATATATGGATATGCAGATGTCCTTGTGAGTATATGTATATATGTAAGTATAAGTATATATGGAGATAGGTATGGAGACATGTGGATGTGCGTATATATAAAGATGGAAATACACATATGGTCGTTTCGTGTGAATGTGTATGTAGGTGTATATAGGAACTCATAGGCATATAAGAAGATATAGGTATGTGGTTACAAATAGAGGTTTAAGACATGTGTAGATAAAAAATTGTAAAAGAAGGACCTAATCTTCTACTAGTGACATCTCTTCCAAATATCTCCTCTAATATTCTCCAATTGGAAGTGAATTTTAAATAACACGAAGGGAAAGTTTAGATTAGTATTTTAATTGAGATCGAAAGACACTACCCCAGTGTGGAGAATAAAATTATTTAAATGGGAATAACAGTTGATAATTGGGTACATAAAAACAATCACGAGTTTACTTAATGAACAAAAATCAAAAACAATCACAAGTTTACTTAATGAAGAAAAATCAAACGAATAGATGTCAACCTAACAAGCTATAAGATAAAAGTTTTAGGAAAAAAAAACAAATTACTAAATATAAAATGGATTGCTCTTTCAATGTTCTGTCTATGGATTTTTCCAATCGATTGTTTCATAGAAAATACCCAAAACTCCACCGAATTTTAAATTAATTTCTTCGTAGATTGTTTAAACATTTAGATATTTATCAAACCTTAACCTCCCAAATATGCACGTTAAAGTAACGCGAACTGACAGTGTCTAAGAATTTGAATGAAACCGGTCATGTAATTGATTGGGGTTGTTGTAACTTCTTCCTTTAATGTCGTTCTTATCATTCACACCTTTGCCATCTATATCTAGAGACGAGACGCGTTAAATTTGAGCAACATCCAGCCGACACACTGGGGTTAAAATAGGAAACTAAAATAATACATATGACACACTCATATCCTCTCTCCCACCTCACTCCCTCACTTCGTTAACTTTACATAGACTTGATGAGGTCCGTAAAAAACGTGTAAATTTTTTTTCACTTTTCATTTCAGCTTTTGGAAGTAAAGTCTGATGATCCAGAACCCTGTTAAAGGGGTTATGGTGAAATAGCTTATTACATGGAATCTTAACGTGGTCTGTCTTTTATTCAAATATATATATATATATATATATATATATATATATATATATATAAAAGAAATATCAGAGATAGTGCGTGTGTAAATAGAAAAGTGAACATAGAAGTCGGTGGGGCATTGCGGGTAATCTATTTTGGCGGTAATTGTTTACAAAACAACGTAATATACCAAGCCACGATAAAATCACCAGATAATGAAGAAAAAGTATACATACGAGTAACTGAAGGACCCTGGAAACAAAGAAATTATACACAAAAAACATCTTTCACAAATAGTAAATATGCGAATAGCGCAATGCTTTCTCAGTATATCTGGGAAATTAAAAACAAAATGCACATCACTCCAAAAATATCACGGAAAATAAGGAAAAGATCATCATCCTACAACAACCAAAGAAAAAACTTGAAAACTTTGATTGGAAGAAGAAATAACTATCATTACCTTCCCAGACCAAAATAAACTATTAAATAAAAGATCCGAGCTCATCTCAAAATGCAGACATGAAAACAAATTTTTACTACGTTACTTAAAAATAGAAAACAGAAAAATAAAATAAAATAAAAATAAATAAATAAACAAAATGACACTAAACTAAGCAAAATTGAATAAATAGCATTATCTTCCCAAACCAAAACAAAACTATTAAATAAGCGATATAAACAAATTTTTACTACGTTAATAAAAACACCAATTAAAATAAAATAAAAAATAAATAAATAAATAAATAAGATAAGAAATAAAAATAGAAATAAAAAATAAAAATAAATAAAAAACAAGCAAAATAATTTAATTTAGATTTCATTGAAAAATACATCCCTTCCCACGACCCAAACGTAGCAATAACTGATACATTAAATTATAGACATATTGAAAACCCAGCCAAACCTGTCTAGAAAAATAGATTTATCTGTAACCTGGAAACATGCATTTTGTTTTAGCTGTGTATTTAAAACCCAGTAATTTTAAAAAGTTACACCAAAATTCGCTTGAGGATGAAATGGAACTAATGTCATTGATTTAATCACAAAAATTAAATTCGTGGCTTTTAGCTTCCGTTTTTGAAACATGGTTAGAACTATGTAGCGAAAAAAAAACATATTTTAAATCAATTAATTTATAATATTAATGCTCAGTAAATTTACATTGAGCACTATTTTGTAAAAATAAAAATATCTATAAGAACACCGGATTACATATCTTGCTGTTGTTTCTTATATATATATATATATATATATATATATATATATATATATATATATATATATATTTTAAGGTGTGCTATATTTATGGGATAATTTATGGATAATGTGCTCAATATCAGAGATAGAGCGTATGCAAATAAAATATAAAATAGTGAACATTGAAGTCAACAGTCAGAGGCGACAGACTGTTTCATGCTAGACGCAATCGTCGGCCTGACGATTGCGTCTAGAATGAAATAGCCTGTCGCCCTAAGTGTTGACTTCAATGTTTTACTTTTATATTTATAATATATATATATATATATATATATATATAACATACATGTATATAACATACATGATTGTTCTGGTTCCCTGCCCATGTCTATACATATCTTGTCTGGAACTTATTTAGTACTTCTCAGTTGTTGCTCGCCACTGTCCTAAGCATACTAATAACATCCTTATAGCCTATGCTAGGTCTACTAAGTACGTTATACCAAGGGTCGGCAACCTTTTGTTGACTCTATGCCGACTTAGAGTTTTAAAATCATTCTGTGTGCCATGAGCATACGTATTTTTTATACACGTCAAGATCAATATACCTGTTCTACAATATATTTTATATAGTAATATATACAGTACTATGAAAACCACATTAATAGAAATAAAGTGTTCTTAAAAGTTTTTTTGAAAGTTTTTATTATTAATGGGGGTCCAGAGAGTGGGTAGTCTTGAAACAGCTAAATATTTTGTTTGCGTTGTAGTAGTTATTGGTTTGGACTTCGTGATGTTATTTGCGTGCCTTATGAAATTGCTTGCCGTGCCATGCGTGGCACGCGTGCCGTAGGTTGCCGACCCCTACGTATGAACTGAAATATGCTTAGAAATAAATACGAGGGAGCCGCTAATAAACTTTAAAAGAAAGAAAGAAAGAAAGAAAGAAAGAAAAGAAAGAAAGAAAGAAAGAAAGAAAAAAAGAGTTGTTCCACGATAAAATAGCTTCGTAGACAAGTGAGGGCCCAAGTGGAAAAAGTGCGAGCAATGAATAAAAACTGCACTAAATAACCCTAGACATGAGCAGTGAGACGAGAACAATCTACCTCCGTATATTAAAATAAAATGTTCCCTGCACTACACCTGAAACATTGAGGATGACAGGCCGGATGTAAATAATACAAATAATTCCTCTACCCAGAAATTCAGGCAGAAACAGATGGGTTACACAACCACCATATTATCGCCCGGATTAACATTCTATTATTCCCATAACTGTTCATTTAAATCGCATAGCGCCAAGCAGCTCATCAACAAAACTCAACATAGCCAACAAATCGTTAAAGATAAGAGAGAAAAAATTATACTATTTACTTAAGCGGTACGAAACGATAGATGCTAGTTACATCAAGAAAGTAAATAACGTAAAATCTATAAAATTTTAAGAATAAAAATCTTAGGAACAACCGTTGTAAATACATTTCATTACTAAAAAAAATGATTTAAAAGACTTCTGTACGAATTTCTGGGATGAGGAGATACTCTTTACACTGGAGTATTGTCCTTACCTGTGTTGGTAACATAATTAAGCAGTACTAAAAATAGGCAATAACTGAGCAACATTAAGAATAAGAACTAGATGAGACAGCCGTAGATATAAACAGTGGAACGAGAACAATCTACTATGTATATTAAATAAAGTATTCAGTTCGGAATTTCCAGTAGGTTACCCGCGTAGGTATACACCTGATGAAGGGCAAAACGTTGCCATAACAACAGCAAAGATGCGGGCATAGTTTGAAAGTAAATAGTGTAGATGAAAAAAGAGAATACGACAACACGGACATGAAGATATGAGAATTTAAAAACAGGCATAATGTTTCAAAATCTCAAAATTTAGAAAAAGAAGTTGAATCTGACATTGCACAAACGGCCATGTATTCAGAATATTATCGACAAAAATTCCTTGATAGTGGTTTGTTAATGCAGAAAGTACACAGAAATCGGAAAATTTGTATTCAACTAGAAAAAAAGGCCCGAAAATAAAATAAATCCTTAATAAACAACTTTCGATGGTATTTAACCAGACTTGTGGGAATGCACAAATACTATATTTTCATATTGGCTCATTTTTATTGATTATTACCCAAAATGCCTTTTTCATTTTTCTTTTTAGTTGACATTTCCTTCCGGTCGTCTGAAATCTTGTATTCATCGATCAAAAGCACGAAAATTAAATATTCCATAATTTAAAAATTCTAACGTTAAAATTCTACCGAGAGACAAGTGAATTTACGTATAAATTCAAAGAATAAATATCACACAAAGGGTTGAAATTGTGTGTGTGTGTTTGTCTTCGTGCGTGTGTGTGCGCACGCGCACCAGGAACGCGTGTGTGTGTGCGCGCGCACGTTTTCAGGTAGTTCATGTCTATCTCTTTGCTATATATGTAAAACTAGATCTGTACAAACCAATGCTTTTTTAGATGTGCAACAAAGCAATAAAACGTCTACATAAATTCCCGCATCTGTTGCAGAGTTATTGAATTTACGAGTTTAAAAGCTAAGCCAATATCATCAAAAAGTGCTTTTGAATCATTATTCAAACAATAATGTTCCAAACTTGTCACATCAAACAATTAAGTGAATGCTATATGTGAGTTTAATCTTACAGAAAACTTTCTTCTACACTTTTTTTTCATACGCAAGTCTCACCTTATTTCCAAATCATGGCAACCAACTATTTGTTTAATTTTATTTCTTTTATTGCTATTTTTCTATTCCTGTTTTATTTCGTGTTTGCCAGAATTCGTTATTGGCGGTCACAATCTCAACAAAATAAGATATGCAGTGTGTTGATAGCAGACACAAAAAGGAAACTACAAGGTCTCCTATAGTTAAGAAAAGCGAGAAGAAAGGACTAATTATCAATTGCAAACAAAAAAACAAAAAAAAAAAAAAAAAAATGAATGGTTGTCATCAAAAGGAACAACGCAATATGCAAATTATAATTGGAGATACCAAAACCAAATGAGTACAACAACTGGAATATCTTGGAAGTGTTTTAACAGAGGACGGAAAGTGTGGCACTGAAATCCAAAGGTGAAAATAAAAAAGGGAAATTTTCTTAGAAACAAAGTAAATATTTCTAAACTATTACGTAATAGCAATAGCAACAGAAATGTAGTTCTACAGAAGGATTCTGAGAATACCATGGACGGAAGATGTGAGAATCAATGAGGTTTTAGGAAAAATGGAAACAAAAAAGAAAATTATACAGCAATTAGCATCAGAAAGCGACAACTGAAATTTCTGGGGCACATAATGAGAAAAGAGGGCTTGGAAATTTTGACACTCACAAGATTGAAGGCAAAAGGAAGAAAGGAAAAAAAAACAAACAAACGCATAACCTAGGTAGCGCGCTTGAGTAAATGGATGGCGGAATAGGGTTCAGGACAGATGACAGACAGACAAAATTTATTAAGAGCCATGATAGCCAACTTACTGATGGGGCACGGCACATACAAGAAGAAGAAGATAATGATGATGATGATGATGATGGGGAGGAGGAGGAGGAAGAAGAAGAAGAAGAAAATGATGATGATGATGAAGAAGAAGAAAAATGAGGAGGCAAATAATAATAATAATATGATGATGATGATGAGGAGGAGGAGGAGGAAGAAGAAGGAGGAGGAGGCAAAGAAGAAGAAAAAAAGAAGAAGAAGAAGAAAGTGCGCTTCTGTAGAATCCATGATATCTTGCTCTCGATTTCACACCAACTATTGATGATGATGATGAAGAAGAAGAAAAAGGAGGAGGCAAATAATAATAATAATATGATGGTGATCAGGAAGAGGAGAAGGAGGAAGAAGAAGGAGGAGGAGGCAAAGAAGAAGAAGGGAAGAAGAAGAAGAGGAGGAGGAGGAGGAGAAGTTGATGATGAGGAAGAGGAAGAAGACGAAGAATGAGGCAAAGAAGAAGAAGAAGAAGAATAGCAGGATGATAATAATAATAATAATAATAATAATAATAACAAGAAGAAGAAGAAGAATAGGAGGAGGAGAATTATAAGAGAAGAAGAAAAAGAAGACGAAGAAGAAGAAATAGGAGGAGAATAATTAGAGAAGAAGAATAAGGAGAAGGAGGCAAAGAAGAATAAGAGGAAAATAATGAGAAGAAAAGAAAAAGAATTGGAGGAGGAGGAGGAGTAGAAGAAGAAGATGGAGGCAAAGAAGAGGAAGAAGAAGAAAAATTGGAGGAGGAGGGGGAGTAGAAGAAGAAGATGGAGGCAAAGAAGAGGAAGAAGAAGAAAAATTGGAGGAGGAGGGGGAGTAGAAGAAGAAGATGGAGGCAAAGAAGAGGAAGAAGAAGAAAAATTGGAGGAGGAGGGGGAGGAGGATAATATTAAGAAGAAGAAAAAGAAGAAAGTGCGTTTCTGTAGAATCCATAACATCTTGCTCTCGATTTCACACCAACTATTTTACTTCGCTGTTGCTCCGGCCAAATTGATTAAATGATAAACTGTAAACTCGGTATTAGCACCTGTTACTAGCGATATCTCACTACGAGAGATTTATCTACATTCTCCTTTGCTTTTTACCTTATTTATTGTATTTCTTCAAGTTTAAGGCGAACATTTTCCTCAAATAAAAATGCTGTTACGGCATACATATCATTTCCTGTAACATCTGTTATTTTTAAACCCACCCTCAAATGTCACACAGCCACCCTCACTTTGTGTCCTTAATACACCGTTTTCATATCCGTCCATTTTCTTGACTATCATCCTCAATATATTTTTCTTCCTATAGCCTGAAATCTTGTATTCATAGTCCAAAAACATGAAAATTAAAAATTCCATATTTTTTAAATTCTAAACTTCAAATTCTACCAAGAGACAGCAGTGGATTTGGATTTGCGTATTATACAAAGAATGAAAAAGGCTTTATCAAGATCATCTTTTTCTATATATATATATATATATATATATATATATATAGAGAGAGAGAGAGAGAGAGAGATAGATGTAACTAGGTTGAGATAGATAGATAGATAGATAGATAGATAGATAGATAGATAGCTGGCTACTTTATTCGAGGATACCCGCCTATTAGGGTGGATATGGTCGCTTTATCAGGCCCAGCTTTTTCTATATCATTATAATTTTCTGACAATCGAACAAGCATTTTTAACTTAATCATTATATTCCGTATCTACTCGCTTGTCATGTAACCTTAAAGCCTAAATGTGAAGCTAATTTGACTCCAATAAATGGATTTATACTTTGGTCAACGGCTTAGCTGAGGCCAGCAATACATACGCTAATCTATATCTCGTGTATCATGCGACGCCCTTAAAATTAGGTCTTAAAAAATCACATGATACGCGGGTATATAAAATAGATAGATTGGACTAAACTGAGATAGATCCGATTAGACTGAGATAGATAGATAGATAGATAGATAGATAGATAGATAGATACGAGATAGATACGACTAGAGTGGCATATATATATATATATATATATATATATATATAGATAGATAGATAGATAGATAGATAGATTGATAGAGAGAGAGAGAGAGAGAGAGAGATTCTGCATATACTAACGTATCATGTGACCTTTGAAAACATAATTTTTAAGCTAATTTGTCTCCAGTAAATGAATAAAATACTTTGGTCAACGGCTTAGCCAAGGTCAGCAATACATACGCTAATTTTATATCTCTTGTAGCATGCGACTCCCCTTACAATTAGCTGAAAAAAAGGTTTCCAAAGTCGCATGATACGCCAGTATGTACAGTATTTACATTTTGTATAGTTATTATATTATTATTCAGTAAAGCTAATAATTATTTTTAGCCAAGTGAAATTCATTTTTTCATTGTATTAAAAGCTAAACGTCCAGACTGGGAAAATTTCTCAAAAATAAATTAAAATGTGTTTCTTAATCACCGGTCTTTACCCCTATCGTTAAAAAAGATTTTGTTTAATAATATAGAAAATGACTACAGATAAGTTGGTTACATGCTGTTCGATATAGAAATTATAATAAAAAATATTCACTGGAAATGTTATTAATTTGATAAAAAAAGACAACTGATGGTAACTGTTGAACTATGTCGAAATAATATTCTGCATTGATATTAAAGGTTAACTCCGAGTGATGACACTCTGTTTTATTCTTGGACACAATTTTCAGATGGTCACTCGGTATTAACCTCTCTATTCACTTTTATATTCTACACACGTTTCATCGCTGATGTTGAGTATTTCACATAAATATAGCATACCATAAAATAAATCACGTATATTTTTAAGATCACGTATATTTTATAAGATATATATATATATATATATATATATATATATATATATATATATATATATATAGAGAGAGAGAGAGAGAGAGATAGATAGATAGATAGATAGATAGATAGATAGATAGATAGATAGATAGATAGAAGACTGTTTCAGGGTATCACAGCTCATCAGTGTGGCTAGAAATCAATGTTAATAGACAAGTGACAAAATGGTAACAGACGCCTTTACTTAAGACTATTAATTGAATTAAAGAAAATACATCACTTAATGATTTTATGAATTTTTTCATTTTGTCATTCACTTATGAAATTTGAGTCCAAGTATATCATATCTGACTCACACACACACACACACACATACACAAACACACACACACAAAAACACACACACACATATATATATATATATATATATATATATATATATATATATATATATAAAAAGTGGTCAATGAAATCAACGATTACGTATAGGTATGAAACAGTTTGTCGTTGCTAGACGTTGACTCAGTGAGTGACCATATATATATATATATATATATATATATATATATATATATATATATATATATATATATATTTCTGGACTCTGTTATATTAAATACATTGAGGTCTTTTTTGCGGATGAGTTTTAATATTTTACATTAGTAGTATTCACTCGGATTATATACCAACGTATTTATTACCTGTACTATATATATATATATATATATATATATATATATATATATATAAATTATATATAAATTTATAAATTATATATATATATATATATATATATATATATATACCCACACAAATATATTAGGCATTTTACGAAAAGTAAGGCGATATAGTCAATAAGACTCAGGACGTTAATGAATGTGAAATGAATCTGAGAAATAAAAGATTATTAAAGAAAGCGCACAATGACGACACAGGATCCATGAAGATGGAAAATAACGATTGATATATTAAATTTTTGAACATCAAACTTTTCTAGGGAGCAAGAAGTCAGAAGTGAATTCCACAAATGAGAAGTGCGAAAAAAAAAGCTTTTGGCATATGACTTATAGTTACATCGCGTAATTCCAACTATAAAATGATGAGCCCTAATCGTTAACATGGTACATCATTTTAATTCGTAAAACTCTTGAGAACCATTGTCATGGAAACATATAGAAATATGACAGGGAAGCTACTTTTTACTACGGAGAGAAAGTGATTGAAGCCCAGATGTCGGCTCAGTGCCGATAACATTACTAATATATATATATATATATATATATATATATATATATATATATATATATATATATATACATAAGGCAGAATGTGTGTGTGTGTAACGAATGCACGGCCGCAATTTTGACGGATTCGCACCCAAATTTACATGCTCCAAGTTAGCGGGAAGGCCAAGACCGACGTTGCATTTCCCAACTCCCATCGATAGTGGAAATAATCGATTTTTTTCACGCTTCTACGGCAGTTTTCATGTAGTTTACGGCCATTTTCTACTGCCCAGAATGAGAGCCTATAGCTGGCTGCCACGAATATGCAGGAAGATTCTATTGGCCAGCGTGAGAGCCAACAGCTGACTGACACGAATATTAACTAGCATGCTAGCATGCAAAAAAAAAAAATCGTCACAAATTTAAATCTGCATGGCACTTTACTCCAATTGGCTCATTCGCTTGCTTAAACTCAACGTTGATTCTGATTCCGCAGAACTGGATTGGGTGTGAAAAAGTATTTGTGTTAACATTCTTTTTTCATTCAGTTTTTCCAGTTACTAGTCCTTTTTTAAAGCTGATCGTTTTGTGTTCATTTTAATTAGTTCTTTTTTCGTAACATATTTAATGTTTAGTATAGAGCTTAGAAAAAATTCGCAGTATGAGATAGGCAAGAAGTAAGGCATATAGCAACATCAGCACGGCAAAGGGCACTTCTTTAAAGGCAAGCAAGGGCAAAAATATTTTAAGTCAAGTGATAGCGATTGCTGTATCAGTCGTACGATATTTGAATCAAGCACGGGCAACGCCGGGCCATGCTGCTAGTCTATATATATATATATATATATATATATATATATATATATATATATATATATATATATATTAATCGGGTTCACCCCAAGCAAGGCAGTGAAGTCACTAAGACACAAGGGGTTACTGAGTGCGCAGAATGACATAGACCAAAAATGGAATTAGGCGGACTATCGACACCGATTGACATCGCATTTAAATTTTTGAAGATTAAAGCTGGCTGGACAGCATGGACCTAGAAGTGTGAAAAAAGAAATTGTTAGTAGCAAGTCAACTCGAGGCCACTCTAGTGTTGCGCTTAAATTCATAATGTTTAGGTACTTAGTTTAGGAAATTATTCATAGAAAAGGCACAAGGTGACCTTACGGCGGTGGGAAAAGTGACTTTAGATCAGGACTATATATATATATATATATATGTAGTCCTGATAAATAAGGTGAATTTTTCGGTATAAGGAGTACTAATACAGATAGAACCTTACTTTTTTTTTTGAACGTAGTCTCCCAGCACTGTCACACACTTTTCCCATCTGTGCACAAGCTTCCGTATTCCCTCAGCGTAAAAATCTTTGGACTGATGTCTCAGCCAGTCACTCACAACACTTTTGACTTCATCGTCACTTTTAAACTTCGTGCCTCTCGTGAACGCTTTCAATGGGCCAAACAGGTGAAAGTCTGAAGGGGCAAGGTCTGGGCTATAAGGGGAATGAGGGAGCAGTTCCCAGCCCAGCTCGTTGATTTTCTGCACCGTTTGGGCTGCTGTGGGAGGCCTTGCGTTGTCATGATGCAAGATGACTCCTTCTGACTGATGACCCCTGCGTTTGTTCTTTATGTCTTTCTTGACCTGCCTCAGCAGTTCACAGTAGTTCTTCTGTCAGACTGAGTGAGGTCATTGACTGATTCGATCACCTCAGGAGACCTCACTTAGTAGGCCTCCCAGGCCTGTCTTCATCCTCAAAACGGCTCCGTCATTCTTTAAACAATTTATCCCACTTGTAGACATTTTTTGGGCTGAAACATGTGGCACCATACACAGTTGACATTCTCCTATGAATTTCAACTGGTTTGCACCCTTCAGCAACCAAAAACTTGATAACTGGCCGCTGTTCAATCTTGGAGCATGCTTCTTGGCCGGCCATCTTTGTTAATCGCCAAAACTCTCAAAGTTTTTTTGTTTAAATCTGCAAAAAAAAATTAAATCCATGTGAAAAAGAAGTAAAAGAAAAAAAAAGTAACCTTCTATCTGTATTAGAAGTCCTTATACCGAAAAATTTACCTTATTTATTGAATATATATATATATATATATATATATATATATATATATATATATATATATCTATGTCTATCTATCTATCTATCTATCTATCTATCTATCTATATATATATATATATATATATATATATATATATATACTAACTTCTAATTGGTAGGGATAATTCCAAGGAGGTTATCAATCCAGGGAGAGTCCAATGTAAACGACAGAGCATAATAATAATAATAAATCAAGAAGAAAAACTTAAAGATTCATTTGGTTATAATTTGATTCATTTATATATTCGTGAATATATACAGACATCCACGAAATTATAACCGAAATCAATCTTTAAGGTTTTCTTCTTGATTTATTTTGATTATTAGTATTATTATTGTTATATATGTGTGTGTGCCAGTGTGTGTGTATGTATGTGTGTGTGTGTGTGTGTGCACATTTCATTGAATACGACAGACAAGGTGCTTTTATTTGCTTTTTTATACAATTTCTCGTGCATCTTTTTTTTTTTTTCAGATGATAAATTATATAAAATCTGTCCGTATGTTCTTTTTATCCGAGGGTTTTCGGCTATACATTTTGCCATTTTCAATTTTTAATTATTTTAACTGTTAAATACAAAATAGTTTGTTGCATATATGTATTTATGTTTTCATTTTTCAAAACACGGTCAAGCTATTGTGTCCATGTTCATAGTTAATATTATTAAGTGTTGTTTTTTTGTGTTTTTTTCGCTTTTATTAATAAGGCTTCCATTATTTTTAACCATTTTGCTTGTAGATGATGCTATTATATTTGTGCTATCAACAAGTATTTTACGAATAGTGTCCGGTAGGTCTCCATGAATATTTAAATGAGATCTAATTGAGCTATGGCCAGAAAAGGTGTAGAGTGGGTCTGCGTGTCAAACATATTGTAGTGTGACCTATATAATTATTTACGTATTTTGATTGATCAGGAATAAATTCCTTAATGGGCATTTA